AGGTTAGGCGTAGAGTTCTAGGTAAACAGGGGAAATCAATCGACGAAGTCGTGAAGCTACAAAGACTGAGATGGTTAGGACATGTGTTACGTATGCCAAGCCATCGCCTCCCTCGACGAGCAATGTTAGCGGATATAGGGTCAGGCTGGAAAAAAGCTAGCGGCGGTCAAACAAAAACTTGGCATCAGTCAATGAAATCCACAACAGTTGGTCTAAGCCACGTAGGAAGGTGTAGACTTCCAGGCTGGGGTCCTCGGGACGGTAAAAATCTATGGTTGGAAACAATTGGTGACATGGCTCAAAATCGTTCTCAGTGGCGCAGATGCATCCACTCCCTGTGACTTATGATCTTCAATGAAACTGTTTTGTATTTCTTTATTACTCCTTTGTCTCACACCTCTGCTCACTGTTTCTATTATGCTTTTCTTGTACTTTCTTCTCTTGCTTCGCGTGCTACACGGAATGTGGCGACTTGAACTTCCGCACATTTGTGCAAAGTTCTATGTCGAAAACAGAACAGAACAGAACAGAACTGCCTCAGTATGCTCGTGGTTGTCGTCTGCGTGATCGGAGTAGATTAGTGACTCACCGATTTACAGTTTTGATAATCCGTATCCATTCCATCTGCTCTCACAGATTCCGAGTACTTCTATACCACGTCTTCTCATTTCTTTGGCTACTTGTGCAGCTTTCCCAGTTTCGTACATTGTAGGAGCATCCCACGTCCCCAATGTTATTTTTGCTGTCATCGAAAGAAGACACATCAACTAAGTGGCATCATGTGGGCTTTCACCGGCCTGCCTCCGGTTCCAGAGAAGAATAAGTTTGTATTTTTAAATGTTTTGTATTTTAACATATTTCTTATGCGTTGAAGTTTCTGTAGCGGTTTTAATGATTTCGGGGTGTAAGGTTGCTAGTCCTACGCGCAATTCTCCCTCTTTCCTCAAGCTTGGGACCGGGTAGAGAGCTAGAGAGATAATAAACTGAGCAAGGTTAAGTCAATTTGTAGAGCTTATTTGAAATCCTATAATTGCTTTATCAGACAGGTTTACAGAACTATAAGTCTGTCTGTAATTATCCTAAATGTATATTCTTGAAATTGTTCGCAATCGTTTTTCCAGAAAATATGTAAATGGGTACTTTGCAATGTCTAAAGCATACCATATGAAAAGTGGTCATGGAAACTTATCTTAGTAATTCCAACCAACCGACTGTTTTCCTCAAGTTCATTCTACCTACCTTTATCACCAACTGTACAACTATTCATTTCATTCTACTTAATATACTATAACTTAATCTGTTCTAGTACTGAACGTTTCTATACCTTATTCTTTTTAAAAACTCTCAGTTTTATAGTTTTCTGTTGTATATATACGCATCGAGATAATACTTCGATAATGCATCTGCTTCTAACTCTTATAAATTCACTCAGTTTGTTGTTATAATGCTATCCTGTGGGCGCTAGGCAGATTCGAGCAACAGCACGCCCCAAATGTTATATTTTCCCTGATCTTCGAAGCTACTTCTGACTAAACTGTCACTTTCAAACTTCGTAATAATTTTTACCTGATCATTATTATACCCTGTTATATCTTGACTGTTTAGGCTTTTAATCAAGTTAAAACCTGCTTTTTAATATGTATTCCGTGATTCCTTAACGTCTAGTTGTTCTTGAGTAAAAACAAAAATTACTTTGTTTGAAGAAAGCTACATTTTCATCGAAAACGTTATAGTTTCCGTAGTAAGACTAATATGTTTAGCATTTTACGTTGCAAATTAATGTTATCATTCTAAGGACGACATAGCTCCTTTATGTTTATCTCCTCTAAATGTATTTTCAATCGTATATTATCTTTACTTGTGTTATATGTCAATTTACAGTTTCTTGAAACATTCTGTTCTCTCTAAAAATAGCTTCCATTCACGGGGAGAAACATGATTTACCCAGGTAATGGTTCTTCATCGATCGACTGACATCACTCACGAAAAAAAACGAAGATTGGACTGCCACTGAAGCCTAATGGGGACCCTGGTGACGGCCACACAATTTAAACTTTATGTGGATCTGTTCTGGTTGTTTGAATTGTAATTCTGCCATATGAACTATTGTAACAGTAATTATCTATTGATATTTTACGATTGAAATTTATGCCGTTTCTGATCATGTCTGCAATAATGGCGTGCATTTTATGTAAACTTACCTGTTTAAACCAAATATAAATTATTACTTTACTGTTTATATGTAGTAAATAGAGAAGAATTATAATTGTATCTCTAAAAGTGATTGTAACTGTAGTGACAAGACCGGCGTTAAGGCTTGCTCTCTTTGTTTTTATGCTTAAGAAAGTTCTTGTCATTTCAATGATCTGAAGACCATTAAAAATCTTAATGAGTCTTGTTAAATAATTCATTGGGAAATAAGCACCATCTGAGATATGCAAGAGAAAATGAACACGCTGGCGGAAGAGGAAGCGAAGACAGAGCTTCAGGATAACATAGAAAAGAAAGAGGAGATAAAGATACTTTATCACTGAAAACGGATACCAATCAAAACCAATCAGATAAATTTGAAGGAAGCCATCACTTACATTAACATGATTAGAGTTGTTTCAGTTATGGGCGGCTCAGGTGAAGATGCCAAAGCCAGCCAGGATCAGAACGAAAAGGCACTCTAGGCGTTCATATGTCTGAAATCTATGTGGATATTCACACCATCCATTACAGAATTAATCCGAATTTCAAACACTAACGTCAAGCCAGTGCTTCTGTATGGATAACAGAATTGGTGTGTGCGTCTTCGTGTACAGCCGCCTTGTTACCCAGAATACTTGATTTCAGACTACCCGTTTTTATGAGGTAGTATATCTAGAACTGTTCCCTTCAAAAATCACTGGTTGCGGAAAGCATTCTCCCATGCATTGCAACAAGTTACCAGTACTCAGATCGATACACCTATCAGTTACACTTGGATATTTTCAAGTATGAAGTGAGAAGTTTTCAAGACTTAAATAACTAGTGGCTTTATGACATGATCCCGCTTACTGTCGCATCGTGACCCGTTACAGTGGTGGTTTAATGACAATTTATATGTTTTGTGTGCTTTTCAAATGAAGTTTTGCATTACAATTTTTTTGTAATATATATCGTTGGTGGCTTGATATTGTCGAACTGCGCTACACTCGCTGCATTTTTATCAGAAAATGTCTCTTGATACTGATATTTGAGCAATTTAATGGATCGAGTGGAGGCAGTAAGTTCAAAATTTGAATGTATTTTATTGGATTTTCATGAGATCATGATAGCGTATTTTGGCCTATTTACGGAAATGCCTTAATACACTTCAAATGAAGTTGGTACTATTCCAAAAAAGGGAAAATATTGCCCTATATAATGTAAGGCGTAGTAAGTTAGGCGGTTTTCAAATATTTGAACTGTATGCTTATCTAATTTCAGGTTGACTATGTAGCGTGCAGGGATTTTTCGCCCAAGACGATGCAAATGATGACTGATAAGAAGACCTCTCTCACCTAATTGTGATATAATTGGTTGTAAATACAATCCTTGACCATGAGTCATCGTTCTTACTAGCACACAGTACTTGTGTGATAACCCTGCTAACGTGCCCTTTGATCTCTGTTGCAAATCATTGCTTGAGGACTGGCATTACAATATGTAATGTAATACCTAATATTTCACAACAGTGGGAAAAATACAGAGGAAGTCTCTGGAGTGTGAATTCTGACCTGACTTCTATACAACATACTAAAATTGAAATAATTTTTCGAAATATCCAACTTATTGATATGTAGTCACATATGTCTACTTTGTTTTGACAGTCTGTTATATTTTGCTATGTGTATATTGATCGATATTCAATTATAACTGACAATATGCTTTATCTGTCCATTAACTGAATAAACAGTGTAAGACCTTTTTATGACATGACATTACAACCAATCAGAATCAAATCATGGTAATATGTCTATCTTATTGGTTCATGCATATTAGGCATTTTCGTATGTACTTTTGTATTGTACACTTTTATACACACTTGTTCACACCTTTCGTACACTACGTACCCTTTCACTTACACACTTGTGTGACAGTCAATTTCCTTTGTTGGAATATACACTTATCATCGTGAACGTCGTGGTCTTCTGATTTCCCCCTTTTCGCGTCAGGACAATTAACTACTCGACGAGTACATAACACTTATGATGCGTTGTGTTTCACCGGTGTATAAAAAACGTTAAGTCAGAGGGCATATGTCATGGTCTGTAATCTCGCGTGAGTAGCGGGGCTGAGCTTAAGAGTGCGCCAGTATGCAGGCAGTATTTAGCTACTCAATAAATAAAAATATACCTGGAAACATATATTCACCTACAGAGCGGAAATACAAAAGTGTAATGAATATTCAGTAAGAACACATAAAATCGATTTCAGCAAAAGTTTTGTGTAGACATGTGAATTATTTGTGGAAATGTTAAGTTAGAGCTAAGTGAGGCATACAATTAGCTTAAGCTTTTTACATTATTGGCAAGAGATAAGAAAAACATGCTTTTTGGGACTCCCATCAATGTCGATGTTTGCGTATGTAATTAAGTTACCATCTTCATTGCTACTGCATAGAGAGCTTTCAGGTTCACTTGCATTTCGTTTGATACAAGTGCAAACAACTTACCTAAGTTTATAGTCTCCTTTTGTTTTTCACTGTCTGAGTGAATGGTACCTTGACATTACTCGAGAAATTATAAAAACTACAGTAAGAAAGGGGTTCATAATAAAAGAGCATCCAAATTATTGATCGCAATCACACAAACAAACAGACAAAACATAATCAATACGCATTTTCTGACTCAATACTTATATATCTCTATTTGCTTAGTAAAACAAATGAATAAAATACTTCTTTTACACATTTAAACATTTTATATTTCGATCTAAAGTATTTCGTTGTATAATAGTAACAATGATTAAATAGGAGGGATTAGACACATACTCTACTTTCTGTTGATCGATAATTTCCTGGAAGGCTTTGAATTCTTTTTATTCACTTGCCAATGAAGTGACAAATATATCTGAATGAATGACCACATGCTAATCACTTTCTCGATCTGTAAAAGAAGTGGAAGATGAGTTTTAATATTACTCTAGATGTGAAGATGTTACTTCTAAAAAAATTCAAACCTATAAAAAAGACCTTCGCTTTATATGAACACTGGGATGATACCTGGTAAAGAAGATGCTAAAATATGCAATGAAATCATTTGATTATAAAATACACAGTTCAAAGTGAAACGTGAAAGCAGTTCCCCTAGCGGGTTGAAGCAATGAAATCACTGTGTTCTGCTGAAGTCATATATTCCACTCGGAACCGAAACGTTATATCAATCAGAGGTGTATGGCTGTTTTAAATCCTGTCGGAAACTAGAATTTCCTGTCAAGTTCAGCTATTTTCCTCGTACGGGAAATCAATCCATTAAGTCAAGATTACCATTGGATATTTGGATCAACAATGAAGTGATGTGAAAATCACACTTACCTTAAGTTTACCTTCAGTTTTAAACCATCCAAGAATACAGTAATTTTGTTCAGATGTATGAATTGCAGTAATTTCATTTTGTAGTGCTGCTAACAATTTCATTGAATGCACATATTCCACATTTGCGGTTTTACAGTCTGACAATATTAAAACTGCTGGATAAAATGACTTTGAGATTGATAAGTTTGGGATGTTATGTATCGGTGAATAACTGCATTATAAAATAATTTATAAAGATTAATAGACTGTAAATTTGTGAGTTATGCTAAATTTATAAATATCTAATCAGCTTACAAGCAAAAGAAAAACAAATTTCTATTGATGCTTGTTCTGATGCACACATCTTAAAATGACTTTTTAAAGTCAATATGGTATTATGATTCTACTTCATGCCTCTAGTCACATAAATTATTATTTTCAAGGTTTGATGAAAACTATGTATTTACATGTCTAAAATCCTTAAATCCATCACAATATCCAAGTACACATGGAGTACCAAATATTTTACTTCAAAAGTGTTCAGATATTTTGTGTCATCCTCTTACATAAACTTTTAAATAATGATTTAATTGGGTTACAGTACTTGTTACTTGTGAAGACATAAGGGTTGTACCTGTACCAAAATCATCATTTTCTGGATCAGATGCGAAGTTTAGTTCAGTCTCCATCACATCTGCATTCTGAAAATCATGGGAAAACTTCCGTTGCACTTTCTCAAGCTCCCTTTAAAATCTTTCAGTAATCCAAAGCCTTTAAATTCAGTAAGATCACTTTAGATGCTGTCACTGTGCTGCACCATAATTTTAAGTAACATTAGGTAAAAGTGAAAAGTCCATACAGTCTGTCTTCTTAAACTACATAGCCTCTTTCGATTCTGTTTTCAGATCACTTTTGCTAAGCAAACTGACTGTAGAACATATTAGGCTGAGTCACACGATGGTTGTCCCTTGTTTTTCATGTAGGAAACAACACAATTTTTTAATGGAAACAGCTTCACTTATGGAAGATGATGTGCTTTAAGGTGTTACACTATCTCCACTTCTTGTTTATTCCTTTTGCATGACCTACCGTTTATTTTGAAGTCAATTTAATTAAATGTGATGATGATCTGAAGATTTCTGTCTCATTTGTTTCTGCATTAGATTGTTTTGATATGAATGGTTTCCTAACTCATAGTTACCAGGAGTCTATTTAAATGGTCTTCAACTGACATCCCCTTAATGTCAGACTGTTAATTTTAATTTCAGGCGTGTAAAATACTTGTACAGACTGATTCAGTCCCATGATCCTTGCGATATACACGGCATGATGCTAGGAAATAATTCGAATTTTGCCTGTCTTAGTATCAGTTTCTCTTCAAATCCTTGTTATTCGTCTCATATCTTGTTGATTTCTAAGAAAATATCCTTTTGGGCTTATTAAATAAGGAAGTTTGGACTCTGCGGCGTAACTCGACATTTTCTCTTACATTTTGTTCATCTATGTAGTTTGCCAATTCTTCTTTGTTATTTCTCTTATTCTTCCCTTGGCTTCTGGAAAAGACTATGCTGTATTACACGGACATTGAAGACTATGAAAAGTGTTCATGATCAGTTTTAACTAAACTAACTGACATTTGTAAAAAATTATATCTGTATAATCTCAGCGATATTGAAATGAGTAATTCCAACGTTTCGTTCGGCAATCTGGTCCGAACTTCTTCAGGGAAATTAATCGAAATTAACATAACAGAGGTTTATATATAAAAGGAACATCTCTTATTTTTAAAAACACTTTGTCCAATCATGAGTCATAAAACATGCATCAACATGTACAATAAACAAAATTGTATGAGTTGTGATCAAAATTTGACCTCAGACTTACAAATATTGATCTACCTTTGTTAAACACTTTAAACACAGGTTGTATGTGTGCCGATAAACAGTTGTAAAACAATGTCTTAACGTCTCCATAAGTAGATATAGACAGTCAGGAACTTTGATCAAGTATTATTAGTTAGTGATACATATCCATTCTTATTTATTAATCAGGATTTCCTATGCGTCAGCTAACATCACACCTTCATGTCTGTTCAAACTGTTAGTATCTAGAATCTTATGATTAGACGTATTTTCAAAATTATGGTGTTTAGGATTAGAGTTTAGTTGAAGCACCCTGTCAAACTCATGACTTTGTCTTCTTTCTGAAAATTGAGCTGATTTATTCGACCTACTGGAGTTGTCAGTTGACTGGACAGCTACGGATTTAAGGTACGCATTCTGTTGCAGACAACGGAGAGTGGAAACACGATGATTGTGCCAATTACATAGTTTCTTTGTTAATTTAATTCAATTGCAAAATAAATCAAATGGACTGTAGTCAAGATTTGACAGAATAGTTCTAAAAAATTTGGGCGCCGAGTGAGAAGTAGACATTTTTTAGAACTATTCTGTCAAATCTTGACTACAGTTCATTTGATTTATTTTGCAATCGAATTAAATTAACAAAGAAACTATGTAATTGGCACAATCATCGTGTTTCCACTCTCCAGAAAATTTATCCCTAAGTAAAGTAAATCCTATCTTTTGGGATTATAGATATCAACAAAATTAAGTTATTTTTAACTGTGTGTACAGGTGCGTAATGCGTACCATGTGTTATTTTACTGATTCAGAACATAAGGTCACTACGGTAAAAAAACCTTCAAGATAACCTGCGTTCTCTGAAATTTTTTTGAGAATATAACTGCCAATTATTTTAAGAATAAATCAGTTGTCAGATTTACTTGTCTTCATGATACTATTCTTACTACTTCTTCTAGACTGATATTATAATTTCTGAGGTGTGATATGACAATTTAAATTCATCATAATGTAACGTCAGAAGACAAGGGCCAGGCAACAGACCGTTTATTGGGGAAAACAAGAGATATTTATATATTTTGATTGCTCGTTATAATTAGCAGAGAAACAAGGTCTTCTAATTAGTTGTTTTCCTGCTGAACGTTATTCTGTCATCTCTTTGTTACCGTTTCTTAAACAGTTCTTTCATATATCTGCAAATCGTATCCGCCTACGCTAAGTCTGCTGCGATTGGTTGTTGAGTTCCTCAAGGTTAGGCTTTGTTCTTGTTTTTTTCTCATAACCAAGATTTGGGACGTAAACATTGACGTAAATTACTGTCTACCACTTTGGCTAACATAAAACTCTCACCACACTACTACATTTAGTCAAAACGCAAGTATATATATATATATATATATATATATATATATATACTTGCGTTTCAGCGGGAGATGATGTTCCCTGTGAGATTAGAGCCCAGCACCCTTGGTTATGAGTGCCAAATTACTTGACTGATAGAATTTAATCTGCATCAAATAAAGAAGTAGACGCATGACATTATTCATGCCTAGTATCCAACGAAAGTATTTTATCGGATAAGCTAATGAGTCACAACAGCCTTGATTGGTTTAATAGTCATATTGTGTAGCTAAATAGTTTTATTTCTATAAAAATTATTTTACCAAAACTACTCTGTGGCAGTGAATTTAATACTAGTGAAATCATGATACCTAAGAATTTGCTTAGAAGCAGTGAAGATGATTAGTTTTTTGTTTATTGACTTTTTGCACCGATATCAATTATGATGTTTCAGGTATGTATTATTCATGTCACTGGTTGTCCTAATAAAAGAATTTCAACTAAGGTTAGATGAGCAGAGCAACTAAAATGTGCGATCGGTTTGTGAACTCTTTAGCTTGTAATTCAATTTCCTCTTGTTGTGGTTTAAAAGTATGGTATGATGTTGCGTCAGTGGTTCAGTGGTAGAATACTCACCGACAACACACGTACTCCGGGATCTTATCCCTAGTCAACGCAATCTACTTAACGTCGCTTAATCGGTAGTAAGCTGGGTAAAGCAGGATAGTTGGGCGTGACGCTGGCAATACCATCTGGTAAAACAAACACTACAGCTGCTAAAACTTCAAATCACAAAACTTGGAGCCTTATGTTTCACTCACAACTAGAAGTGATTCTCTTAACGAATTTTTGAATCAGTCTGTCTGTATTCTTATCTGGAAACATACGCTCAACTATTTTCTCAGTTAACTTTATGAATGTTCATGGCAAGGATATTTGGAATGGCCTCGAGAATGACCTAAATAGTGATGATTAGAGGTGGAGTGGAAACACAGGTTCCTACAAAATCTCGGCTCAAGTTTTTAGCTTAGCCAGTGGTGTCGGGTTGGTAATCAACAGGCTTCTAATGCGATCCAGGTTTCAACTTCAACCAGTCTATATCTCAGTAGCAGCCTACAAATCCAAGGTTGTGTCAGACCCATCTCACTAACAGTTAACAAATCTTCTTCTAATTAAGTATGATAAGAATTGATAAGAGAAGATATAGCTGGATAGCTAATGGAAAGAAGGCATAACTCGTGTAACGATGAAATGGTAGGCAGTTGTATCGTCATACCTCAGGTGATGCAGTTTCTAGCCAGTGATATTTCATGTTTTAAGTTTTATGGCGCAAGTAGTGAAATTCTGCTGTGACTGTGTACAATGATTAATGGAATCCAACTTCACAAAGTTTTCTTTTATGTGTAAATTAGTATTTATTTCAATTAGTATTCACTTATTGACAATATTAACTTACCTGTATAGTGCTTTGAAATCTTCTTCATGATAAGGATTTCCATACTCATTCATCCATCTACCTGTTGAAGAGTATTTGTAATAATGCAGCATATCCCCAAGTGGATTATCTAAAATGACAACCTTGAATAATTCTGGCCTTTGATTAGCACATGAAGCTGCCAGCAGACCACCATTTTCATTTCCGTATAATATAAGGCTGAATATTTTAAAAAGTTTATGTATTAGTAGAAGGTAATGAATGAAAGAATTCATGGAGAGTAAGGGGAAATATCCGAGTTAATTTATTAAACCACATGATCAACGATCCGAAATCTAAATTCACTCAGGTAATCGTCTCAATTTCAAGGTAATAGGTAAAGACGTTAATCGGCTGATCGGCGATGATGTCAGCAGGCCGAAATCTATCAATTAGAGAGCGCATAATTTGTTTCCAAAAGCCTAAACATCAAGCTGACCATCTGACGGATTTCATTTTGCTGACATTAGGGCTTTTATCCTCTTCTTAACTTCAGTGGTTATCTTACTGTCAGCTAGATGTAAACTTAGTGACTCAGAAAGGCTTGAGTGATACAAAATACCAATTAGGAACTAGCAGTGAGTAATTTATTTCTTCTGTTCAGTTTTCCATGAATGATTTGCAATATGTTGTCCTGAAGTTTGTTATAACTATGTATTTTCTTCTAACAGGTAGCAGATATCATGCACACCTCTGTGCACAAACGTGTCCAGTATTAAAAGGAAGAAGCTATAAAACCTTTACACTACCAACTATTTTCAAGAGAAATAACTTAATACATACCTGAGAATGACATTAATACTCATCCTGAGGAGGCCTGTCATCATAACTAGTCTAATATTGAAAAAGTGTTGGCTGACTAAATGACTGAGTTATAACTTTGGAATTTGCTAAGAGGTGCAGAAATTCAAGTTGTCACACTGCATGTAGCACACAAAGGTAGACATCAAAATCCTAAAGAACTATGATCAGTAGAAATGTACTGCGGAAAGAATAATTACATGGAGAAACATAACAGCTTTATGGAGATTATAAATCTCTGCCATATCACAAACACTGTCAAGCCATAGGTTAACTTCGTCTCGATGATACAACCAGGTGGTCTGCAACTCCATAAGTAGTTTTGTTGGCATAACATGTGTCCTTACCACCACCGTGGTTGTAGCACCACAACCTTATCGACTGACTTGCCCATCTTACCCATCACTCTATGCCTGTCATGCATATTACTCACCATATTTTACCACTTAATATCAAAGATAAAAGGCAGACACTTATGTTCAAAAGTGGTTAATCTGCCTTTTAAAGTCTTCTGCTTTCGACGACCGTGTCTCATAGCCATCACAAAAGAGGATGGAGCGAGCTGTTGTGTGCATACACGCCCTCTGATGCACAGCTAGCTGTCACGTCTCTACTAGAGGAGACGTTTGTTTGCAAAGGTCACAGTGATAACGACAGCTGATAACCTGAAACCAAAAGTCAGTAAATATACGTAAGTTTCTGTCATTTCATCTGGACTGACAGATGCAAAGCACTGATTGTGGAGGGCTCTAAAGATATCGAGGAGCAAGATTCCCTCAAATACAAGCTCACCAATAGTTTTCACATAGACCATGACCAGTGGTGGGAGATATAAGTAAAAGAAATTGAAAAGACATCAGCAGTATGTTATATCCATCAACTATTTGAACTCGTTGAAGAAATACGTTATAAAAAGATCAACACCCCATGAAAAGCTATCAACTGAAGTAAAGACAACTGGTAGTGTCTGTTGGGGATTCCAAATGTCCCTATTTTCGTTCAGTTTCACTATAGATATACTGGTGGATATAACTCTAATCTACTTAGATGACCTATAGATTAAACTGCTTTCAGGAACTATCTCGTCGACGTTAAAAAAATGTAAGTCATATAGGGCTATTAGGTGAGGAAACTAACAAAATTCTCATTCTTCTGAACACTTTGAGCAGAAATGTTAGTACATTCCGCATTCGATCACTGATGGATTGTATCATGGATGCATACAAATGTAGAGTCCCAAACTATAGCTAAACAGCTGTGTAGTACTCCCTGATAGTTTCCAAATGGTTGTCTAACTGATGAAATCAATCAAATCTTTCAAGTGTTGGTTTGTAGGGATTTGATTGGTTTCAGGATTCCCAAACTAGGACGAAACAGCTGTCCAGTACTCCCAGGTTTTCCAATGGTTCTCTAACTAATGTCAGCTCATGATGAAATCCTGAAATCAAATCTTTGAAGAATAAAACTTGAAAAATAAATTCTAATTCAGGAGAGAATACACAACTCACTTGTTTGAATTAGTGTATCTTTCTCTGATCAAATATTCTGCTGCTGCTGTAATATCGTCAATAGCGACAGATTTTTTAGTAATAACTGCTTTTTTATGCCACTGTTCTCCATATTCACTAAACAGAAAGTATTATACATATATAAATAAAGTACATATACAAATTTTGTACTCAAGTATTTTAGAGGTTAAAAAGAGTGATAGAAGGGCATTTAAGCGTGAGTAGATGATTTGGCAATAAGATAGACTTACACCATTTTTCTCTATAATTTTTGTTCCTACCCTTTTAAATATGTCCTCGTTTTATTATTTAATTTGAATAAAAGAATCTCTAAGTTGTGGGATTTGGTCGATTTATTGATGGACCATCTGTAACGCTTTGCTGTAGCATATTCCCATGTAAACGATAGTGAAAGAAGAATAATTATTCTTAAGTAAACCCGCCACCGACCAATAATGTTCACACGCAGTTCAACATCAAAATGGGTTGGAACTAAAACGGGTTGGTTAATTTACTCTGTCGGAATCCAATTAGTCAAGATTTACTGGAATTCAGTTTCGGTGAAGAGAAACGAAGTGTTCAAACTATCTTGATTCGTCTTAATCGCTTGATTAGACAGTATCAGAAATATAGTATTCGTATAGAAATATGTGATTTATTTGATGTCATCAGTTATATCATAATTAATGGCATAAAATCTATACTGGTCGGCGTAATAACTTCCGAATCGTTCAAAGCAAATGATTAATGCTCTTATAAACTTGAATTTGTGTAATTTATGTGATGACCCAAGTGCTGATAAGGTAACGAGTAGTATGAATAATTGCCGTGTACTGTAATTAGGAAAATATATTAGTCAGTAAACAGGTAATTCTTCCTAGCTTCAATTCCACTAGTAGTAGTATAGGCCAAAGGTTTTGTATGAACTTATGAGAAGTAACGGGAGAACCTCTTTATTACAGTGAAATGAAATTCTTTCAAACAGGAAACACTTTTAATGTATGCGTACAGTATACGTATAGTCAGTCAGGCGAAATAACAAGAAATTTTGGTGGGAGATAAATTAGTCTGAGTTGCAATGTGTTACTGCAGGACACAGGGAAAATTAATACACAACAAAGGTCGTTGACGAGAGAACAGTTTTGAAGTTTTTCATAATTCCGTTTTTCCCACAATGTAGATTGATTCATTTAATAAATGCACGAGAATTGAGGCTGTGATATACTCTTCAGAACTTGGCTTCAGAAAGTAAAGACAGATTCCCTCTTTTTCCTAACTTGTAGGCATTAGTAAAACACTGTGATTAGAAAGGAGCTTCTGACCGGCCTGTAATTATATAGTCCTTTAAACTCGTATGAGCAGTAGTATCCAATTAAGAGTAATAAAAAACACCCGCTTACCCTCCACCACGTATATTAGCCACTGCGAGAATTCCATTAAAATGTTCTACAAATAACAGATTGCTTGCAGAGTAATATGGTTGATTAGTTAAACCAAAGCCACCGAATGAAGTCAATTTACATGGATTTTTACCAGTCAAAGTGATACCCTTAAAAAAGTAAAAAGTTAGCAAGTAAGCAAGTAAGAGGAAGAGGTAAATAAATAATAAAATGGTCATATAAAGCTCTGATCATCTTAACTTAAATAACCAGTATGGACAGAGAGATAGGTGGGTCGATTATGCCATTTAAGTTTATTTTATTCTTTTTAAATACACATTGAATGGAAATTAACTCTTCATGCTTATGATTTCATGATCATATATCTGACCTAAATGACCACCTTCATTTCTTTATATGGGCTCCTTGAAAGATGCGGGATTCCAAGTTACTTGTTTATGGTGGATAGCGGCAGAACCCACAACGTTTATTTCATGTTAATTAAAACTCTTTAGATGCATATAAGTGCATCGCGAGTCAAGGATAGGGGAGATAATCAGACTTGAACCAGTTACTTATCGTTCTGTACACTAAAATGTTATCCAGTAGGCCAATGGACTATGGAGTAATATTAATGTTTACGATTTGAAGTCAGTCTTCAGTAATCATATAAAATATTCGTTAAGTTATTTTATTTCCAAAAGAAATCGAAATTCGAATTCATTATGAAAAACAAATTAAATCAATTATTTTATCTATACCTATGGATTGATCCCTGTGTGTTAAAACAGAAGGGGTCCAGTTGCTATGGTCATCATATATCAATGTATTATCTAGAAAATGCGAGAAACTATTCACTATATATGGTGACACTTAAGGGTCCTGTGATACAGCGAAGAACGAAATCCTGTTGATGTTTCAGATGACAACATTCACAACACATAGAGTACCTTGCCACTTTTAAGAAGAAATCAGACAACAGTCTCAGAGAGAATTAAATGGTGACATTGTTGAAGAAGCATATTTCCCCAGTACTCTTAGTAAAAGAATCCAACGAGAAGTACATAACTGTGCTGGCTTCTGATAACCTTGAGATAATCTTTCGTCACACATTGCACCTAAACCATAAGGTGAAGTTGCATTGCCTAAGATTGCAGGCAGACTATATGCAGCAGAACAACACACATGAGAAACACCCCATCAGATATCGTGTTGTATCATAATGGAAATGTTACAATCCATAACCAAATGAATAGATGCAAATAGGCCTGCAGAGAATCTGTTGTTAACCTGATTACTAGTGTAGAAGAATCGAAAAAGACTGAACGCCTAAGTGAATCACTTAATTTCATACATTTAGTTCCCTTGATTAATTTCGATAGAGAAAGAAAGACCAGATTTGCAGTATAAAGTTATATCATTCTATTTCACAGGTTCTCATCAGCTGCAAACTACCTGAAATTACAATGGTTAGAAATAATAACAGTTTATACTTAAATGTTTGAAATGTAATAGTAAGAACATTATAAGATGAACGCATCCGGAATATAAGTATTAAAATTTTTAGTTAAAGTTACTATCAGTTTATATACTATCAAACTATGAAAAGGGGGGTTGAGAGAAGACAGAAAAATCTAATAAACAGTGTTGGCTTGTACGTCAACAGGGCAACTCAAGAAGATTAAAGTTCATCGAATTTGAAAACTTCCTTAGTGAGCCGAGCTCACTAGTGTGTATCACCAATCAGTGTAATGAAAGTGATACGGTTACTAAGGGAGTGAGAGAATGACCCTACTCTCCTTCTGTGTGTATAAATTTGGTCTGAGATGTTTGATTGCAACTGATTCAGCATATCGTTGTAGATTCACTGTCCTTTGTATGTTTAATATTTTGAGGGATTTGGAAATCTCGACAAAATGACCCGTCTCCACAAGGTGTCTGTTAATCGCACTTTGTAAATATCTGCTTTCTTTTAAGCATAAGTTTCTCGGAATATACTCTGGAAACCGGATAGACACCCTTCTTTCTGTCCTTCCAGTGTACTTGCTGCCGCAGGCCCACGTAAATTTATAAATGCAGTTGGAGGTAACATCAGCAGGGTACTTATCCAGTATGGAGAAAATCTGGTGTTGGGGCTGGACCAAGTTCACAAAATCTCCTAAAGTGCTAGTCACAACCTAAACGTACTTCCTTCTAGAAAAACCCAAGAAGAAATGACAACCACTCAGTTTTAACATGCTCCACCTTGTCTAATAAATAACAAATTAAGTTTGATGCAGTGAAAACACTAAATGAAAACTTATTCACTTCCATGTGAAGCATCAGTGCACTGATAACTGAATAAATAAACGCACAGATGAACAGACGTTCTGTAATGCAATACAAGTTGATGCAATCAGTTTTCGAGAATAGCCTGCCATTCGGCTAAACTAACAACTAGTGTGAAATATACCTCAGTTTGTATAAGTCTGTTACAGTCAGTAGCATCGCATTTACACAAAAATTACTACAGTCACAATACAAATGACAACTTAAATGAAATATAAAGTATGCATACCTTTCGATGAAAGATGAACATTGGAATTGATGTTAAATCTTTGGATGCGTAAAACACTTGCTTTATTTCAAATTCAGTTTCTTTCAACTCCATTGGTTCAGATTTACGAAATACCTGTTATATGCAGTAAGATAAGTCAATATACAAATATCAACATCTTGAAGTGAATAGTGAGAGTCTCTGTCTAAAAAACTCTACAAGAGATAAATATTTTGCCATCCACTTTAAACATAATTGTTAAGCATCATGTAATTGTGAATGCATATCAAGGTGAAGTGAGATACACACACTGTATATGCTATATTTATATTTATTTATATATGATGTATTTAACAAGTGAGGAAATTAAATGTGGTAAGCTATCTGAAAAGTACATAGTCTAAGGCAAAATGTCACAATGGGCTCTCATACACACCTCATATATTTAGAACACTGTATGCTATCTGCTTGAAAACGAATTATTTCAATTTGTTTGAATTTATCTGCCTTTCTAGGCTGCATCATCCGGTGTATGGCGCTAATGAGCACAGCCCTAACTGAGCGAAATGGTAGTCCGCTGCTTAAATAACCTTGGTTCGACTGAGAAACTATGCTTATTGAATCAAATGATCTCTGATTGATAAGTAGTATGTATAACTTTTTTAGGTAAAGTGCCGATAATGAGATGTATCATAGGATTTTTACAAAATGAGAACTTATTATATAGTGTATTCCTAGTGTAAGTAAATTAGGAAGCTAGGACGCGAGTACGCATGTGTATTTGAATAAGTGGTGATGTTTCAAATATGACTCAGATCAAATAACAATCAAACTGAATGCACAAACGTCATCCAATTATCAGCTGTGGAGACCTCTTGTCTTATAAGCTCAAATTACTATTATTTTCATGAAACTTGTCAGTTTCACCTCATTAAGAAAAAGTGATTGTCGAGGATCTCTCAGCATATCATTACCCATCAAGTAAGATTAACATCAGGAACATCAGGAATCCATCATTTCGATTCACTTACACTATCATCAAAAAATCCAGAAGTATCAAGAGGGAAATATTTTAGTAGATTTTCATCACTGTTGATTTGTTATCCCGAAGCCTTACTGCTAAGCTACTATCTGTTTGCTTCATATATTCATACATATTCAACAAAATTAATCATATATATATATATATATATATATATATATATATATATATATAGCATAACAGGTTTCGATGCGTCGGTGGTTTAGTGATAGGATGCTCACCAACCATTCAGGTGGTCTGGGATCAAACCTTGGCTAATTCACTCTTAAACCTTGCTGAAATGGTAACAAGCCCAGTAAAGAGACAAGTTTGGGTGTGGATGGGCCAGTGACCACAGTCTGTAAAAAACAATAATGCAGCTTCTACTGAAACTTCAAGACCCAAAGCTTGAAGGTTTATGTTCTACCGGGAATTCAAACGAATGAAATTATAAATAAATATAACAAGTTTACCTCAAGATTGCAGTTATTCTCGGCTAAGTCACAATACATCAGAGTACAGGGTTCATTGAATGTAGCAAAACTGACAAAAATCTGTATAGGGGAAGAATATGTTATTATCATTTTTGTCAAAAATAACATATTGTATTACCTTCATACTTGTATGATGTGCACTAAGAGCATACACTTTACCAATAGGTACTGAAATCTTGCGTACGTGTAATCCAGTATTCCAGTCATAGATTGATATATGATTCTGTGCGACAGAAGTGTAAATTCACGAAGAATGTAGAAAGAAATTAATGAACAAGTAGTTTTCATTGTCAAGAATGAAATTATATTCAATACTATTAATTGTTAAACTTAGACCAAAATCAATTTCAAGAAAGACCACGAAATAAAATCATTTAGGGAACCACTGAAAACCAGCAGGGAGTACTGAACAGCTGTTTCATCCTTCGTTGCGACTCTCCGTGAACCATATCACTACGGATCGAACCTGGAACCTTCGGGTTAGAAGACAAGCTTGTTGATAAATACTGTCTGAAGACACTGGCTGGTAGTCGCGCTATATATAGGGAATTGACAGAAGTTAGAACTGATGGACCATTAGGTTCTGTCCCAGTGATTGCAGCTTCAACGAGTTCTCCTTGTGACCTGAAAGTTATGGGTCCAAACCCCTGTGAGGTCAAGGGGGCGTTTTGCTGAAGGGTCCTAAACAAAGATGAAACAAGTGTCAAGTACTCCCTTCTGGTTCCAAATGGTTCTCTAAATGATGTCGTTTCGTGATCGATCATGAAATCAACCAAACCCTTGCAATCCAGCACTTTGAGAAATAATTTCATTTATTTACCAGAGCTTCATAGAAATTATAACAAAGCAGGAACAATAAGTTCTACAGAACAGGATGAAATTATTCAGCTTCAAAGAATCATTAGTGGGAAGATAAAATTTTCGTGAAGTAGTCAGACATTTTCATCATAATGTCCAAATCCTTATCTGCTTGCGATATTACCTTGCTGTTATCTTTTTTCTCCAGTTAATCAGTTTCGGGAAAATTTCTGAACTTTAGAAGATTATCTAGTAATAGTAACTCATCAGTCTTTAAATGAATACCGATTAACGCCATCGTTAAAATGTAAGTCGGCTACCAAATCGAGTAAGTGTTTCAATATGACTTTAGTATTTATTCATTCTATCCACTAATATTCAAAGGTTATAGATTACGCTGTAATTGCAGTGCAATGATGATTTGGTTGGTACCTGAGTCGCATAAGTCACTCTCTGGGGCACTCAGTGAAATCGAAGCCTGCTGGTTTGGTTCTCGTCTCTTCCTAGATTTTCATTTCACCTCCAGTCCTCAGCTAGGTGAATCTGAACTTGTTCTTTTTATTTACCAAGTTTTAAACATGATTTCCTAATTCCCTACAGTTTATTACTATTATGAATATTATTCAGTGATTGACTGGTGTTTCGTTCAGTAGGCGAAAATATGCTTAAATTTGGCTTTATTAAAGTATTATTATTAATAATACTTTGATAAAGCTATTAGCCTTAAATAGCGAAACGTCAGTAAAAACAGTATCGTTTTGTTTTCATTCATTGGGAAATACAAAACCTTTATTATAATGAATATCATATACCCAATGCCCAAATATTTTCAAACCGTTAAAAGTGAACTTGGTTTGGATATATATAACTTAAATTTCAGTTTATCTTAATATATATGCAGTTGCAGATTTCTTTCCATTCTAATTTTTCCAAACTTTTCTCTCTCTCTTTTCTCTACCTTTGTATGGTACACAGAGTATGGAAGTGTGAACCGCTCAACTTCTGTGCAAAGTTCTACGCTAAAAGTTGGTCAGTCAGTAATTATATACAGCTGAGAAAGAATCCACAGGTAATCTTAGTCAATGAAGCTGTATTCGTGACAGGTTATCGAGAGTGATTTGAAAAGAATTCTTCTCTGCATCTTTACTACTTACCTCCTCCACTCAACCTCTTATTCATCAAAATGTCAAAGACAGTGTTTCACTGTTGGCAACTCCATGTTCATATATCAGTTCACTTGCTCCTGTGTACATAGGCCGTACTAGTGGGACATTGCCTAGGTGTACACAAGAACTTCTCACAACATGGTTGTCAAAAAGTGACATTAAAAGAACCAATACTTCCATTCCTGAGCTAGTTGTTCTTGAAAATCATTCCGCGTCAATAGGAAAATCCCTCAAAGTGATTACTAGTTAAAGCCAAGTCGTTCAAAAGGATTCTAACTATACCTTCTGTCAAGAGCAGAAGCTTTTGCTATATACAAGGATAACTGTGAACTGTGTGCATAGAAGTAGTTTGTTCAATCTCTTTTACTGCAGTGGCCTTAAACTTTCCTTTCCTTAAATCGGATAATAACTTGGAATATAATCCGTATTCATTCGGTTTTCATCTTCGTCGAATGGTGATTCTAAACTTTAGCAGCCCAAAAAGAAACACCCTAATGAAGACGACGAATCTCTATCGACCAATCAAACGAATCCGAAGTAGAAGTGCATAATTTGAGAAAGACCTTTATATATAAGTAATGCAATGTTAAAAAGTAGTTGTTATCCTACGTAGGATAACTTGCTTGTAAATGTTCTAAAAAAACCTCTTAATTTCTCATGTGAGTTCTCATAGTTAGGTTTAACAAATTTCTGTGCGTAAATTCATTGAGATAACTTTAAATAATATTGTTTTTGACTCATTTACCGCTCTGAACCTCTTCTTTTTTAGGTGACTTTAGAAACTTTCGATGGAATTTGTAACAGTTTTATCTAAAGGATTAAAAAATAAGTTCGTATTATTGACCCGGTTATAAATATAGCCCAGTGATATCAGTCAGCTTCACGTTTTCTCCCTCCTAATGAGCCTGTAGTCTAAGTTTTACTTAAATATTAGATTTGGATGAAATTTTCTACGTAATTCATGTACAGCGTCCATAATTCTGTCTACATACTATGGACTCCTTTGATCGGTAGCTCAAGGTCATTAGTCTGTTCAATAAGTTCATTATGGATAATATTTTATTTTGATAAATCACACAATGTTGTGCAGTAGTATTAACTGATGACGTTTCGAGCACAAGCTAATGCTCATAATAATATATGTGTAAAACTTGGGCACTGTGGTAGTAAGCAATTCCATATTAGTTTGTTTATTATATATATCACACATTGAATATGATTATGAACAATAAATTTCGCTCTAAATGTCATCCAGTAAATAATACTGTTTCACTGTGTGAAATATATAATAAACAAACTACTATGGTATTGCTCAGAATCATATCAAGTTACTCACACAACTTTTTTTCTTCATTTATATACATGTGTGGGGTCGATTAGATATTGGATTAAAAATCAGTATGAGATAATGTACATTCAGAAATAATTAATACGAGTGTTATTGACCAAATACAATTAGATGGGAGATACGACAAGGGTTTTTGTAGTCATAATAAGTTACTTGTTAGAATGTTGTGGTGTGTTTTAATTGAATAGAATTTTATGATTATTTATTATTCTCTTCTGATCATAACATTCTAACAAATAACTTATTATGACTACAAAAAACAGTCGTCGTATTTCCCATCTAATTGTAATTGATCAATAACACTCGTATTATTATTTCTGAATGTACATCATCTCATTTTTAATCCAATATCTAATCGATTCCACACACGTATATAAATGAAAAAATAAGTTGTGTGAGTAAGTTGATATGATTATGAGCAATAGTTTGTGCTCGAAACGTCATCAGTTAATATTACTGTGTAACACTGTGTGATTTATCAAAAAAAATCTTATCCATAATGGGATTATACTCTACCGCAGTGCCCAAGTTTAATACTTATATCGGTCCGTTCAATAAGTAGTTTTGTATTGGGCTGCTGTAGTTAAGAGTCATCCAAATGTTCTTGTTTTCAAGATCTTGTAAGTTTTTTGAACTTTTAATGATAATCATTTCCGAGCAATGCTCATCACTTATTGCTTTTAGATTATACAATTAAATATTTTGCTTTAAATGTGTAGTCGAACAAAGCAAGAACTACAGTTTTAGCAGAATAAAATGGTACCATCTTTTACTTCGTTGCCTTCTCGTCAGCTGCTTACATGCCGAAGACATTATTGAATATATCTACAACAACAATTTTAACATACTTGCACAGAGATGGTACCATTTTATTCTGCTAAAACTGTAGTTCTTGCATTGTTCAAATTCATTAAGGGGAATAAATGTATGAAATGTATATTCATAAGACATATTACCAACTGATATAAGTGAGAATCTATATATTAGACTTACAATGTTACTTTTAAGCGTGTTTCTTTATACCACTTTTCTACAGTTTTTTTTTAAATTTTAGATCTAAGAGGTGCTGTAAGTTTCGGTTTTGTGTGTGTGTGTATTACTATGCAGCATTGAATGTATTCGAAAATCTCAGACAGAATAAAGCGGATACGTCTTTCGATTTAAAATTTGAAAGAAAGACATCCCCTGCAACGGAGATATGTGCAAAGAGTTCGGCAAAGAGACTTTCCGGTCAATTCTATGTCTAAATGGGAATTTCCACTTATTAAGAATAAGCAGACCCCTTTGATAGTAAAGAAACTGAACGGGTTTCCTCATTATTCTGTCATGCTTGCTGAAGTCATTAGGAAGATTGTTTTTCTCAGCGAATTTATAAACAGTTATGAATGTCCGAAGTAGTATTGAAAAGCTCTACATCATACAAAGAAGAACATGCTGAGGAAGCTTTCAGTTCTCTTTAGGAGTAATTAACATGTGGATATATTTCAGAAAGGTCTGAAGTCAAGTCTGGCGCAACAGTAAAATGCACATTATAAGCTTAGTATAAACAAACAGAACATATAAAGTTTTGGATGTTGACTTGAAACGTCATTAGGAAAACTGTAATGTAAGTGTATCGGACCGATTAAACACAGTCCGGAATGAACACATACAAGATTCTATAATTAGGTCGTAAGAAAAGAATATGATGCATCCAAAATGCATATACGAGTTGGTCATTTTAATTATTTTGGAATAAACCATACGTTGAAATTGAAGTTAAATCATCAGTAAACGACTTAACTTGACTGTTTTACAAGTTAAATAAAGATTTTAAGGAAATAAGGATAATTATTTGTGGTTAAAATTAGTGTAATAATATTTATTCTATAATTTTTTAACAAGGACAAGTTACTACCTTGCGTCGATGTTCAGTGGTAGAATACTCGCTAACAGTACCTCGTGTGGTCAATGCTTCGATTGCCTGCCGACTCACTGTTCAACCTCGTCTAACCACTAGTAAGCCCGTTAAAAAGGGAAGTTTGGGTGTGAGTTCTCTAGCACCCATACCTCAAAAGAGATCACCACAACTATTGTAACTTGAAAGGTAAAAAAGCTTGAAGTTCTGTGTTCCAATCGAAACTCAAAAAAATATAAGATATAATAAATAACAACTTACTAACACATTTTCTAGATAAGAGATAGCCATGTATCGTTGATTTACGCATACAACGTGTGCCATTTTACTTGCTGAATTATGAGGTACAAAATCTTCCCAGCTCGACTTAAGAAACAAATATAAAAAATTAAATAAAAGATAGTTTAATTAAATACAAGATTTTGGTGAAATGTATTACATGATGTTATTTGATTTCTATCTAAACTTAAAACCAGTCTGAATAAATTCGAGTCATCAAGCCAGACAGATTATTTTTTACAATGCTATCGGATAACCTTGAGTCTGGACCAATTAAACGGGTTATTTGCAATTAATAGTGTTCTCTGAGCTGATTGGTTTAGTTGCGGAGCTTTCGTCGTCTTTCTGGACGACATCTTCAGCGCAGTATTTAGCATAAAGTCAAATGTTTTAAAACCATGAATGATGATACAATTGCATCTTCAAGTGTTGGTTTGTAGGGATTTGATTGGTTTCAGGATTTCATCATGAGCTGACATTAGTTAGAGAACCATTGGAAAACCTGGGAGTACTGGACAGCTGTTTCGTCCTAGTTTGGGACTCTTCAGCAGTACGCACCCACCGGGATTCGAACCCAGGACCTTCCGGTTACAAGGCGAGCTTGTATACCATTAAGCCACTGGGACCCGATCCAATGGTCCTTGAATTCTAACTTCTGCCAATTCACGACATAGCGCGACCGCTAGCCAATGTCTTTGGCGAGTATTTGTCCTCACACCCGACCAGCTGCACCCTGCTGGTCACGACTTCCCACTGGAACCCAGGTAACTACCTACCTGAATAGGGCCAGTCGCCAGTGAGCATCTCATTGGTATTCAAGTGTTGGTCTGTAGGGATTTGATTGGTTTCAGGATTTCATCATGAGCTGACATTAGTTAGAGAACCATTGGAAAACCTGGGAGTACTGGACAGCTGCATCTCCTGGTGACCAACCATCTTTACACATGTATTGACCGTTTTCTATCGATTGGGATTTTAAACTTTCTGGTCACCTGATTTACTTTTTATTAGTTGATATATTTCGTATGTATTAGCGTGTTTATTAATGGCATTTTCGTTTGAGTACCAGGTTTCTCGGAATTCCCTGGAACATTTGGTGTTTCCTCTGTCTAAGATTTTGATATTATCCCAATCAAATTGATGTCCATAATTGTCCGTATGCATTGATACTAAAGAATTTATATCATGTCTTTTCTAAGCTGATTTGTGTTCTCGGATTCTTATTCGAAGGGGACGCCCACTTTGGCCAATGTAATGTTTGTTAGAGTTCATACAATTTATTTTGTAAATGGTGTTAATTTTATCTCCCTTTTCTATCAGATCTTTTGGTTTGCATAAGATCGAATTAAGCTATTCGGCTGGTTTGTGCGCTATGTCTATATCAAACAGTTTCATTATTCTAGCCGTTATTTCAGAGATATTTCTGATGTATGGTAGGATGAATTTCTTTTTGGTCTTTGGTGATGGTTTTTGTTGGTGCTTTGATTCGACTTTAAACACTTTTTGGTGAAAATGTTTGGATAACCTCAGTAAAAAGTTTGAGCATTGTGGATTAGATCAAATAAAGTATAATTATATTTCAATAGTTTACACACAATGATAAGTTTTGTTATTGGTAATATTTCGAGCAAAATTACCAATAACAAAACTTACTGTTGTGTGTAAATTATTGAAATATAATTATACTTTGTTTCAAGACCGTTCGTAAGTATGTTTCTTCCATTCTTTTCAACGCTGGAGTGCTAAAATGTGTTTGAACTCTTCTAAACAATGTCTGCACACAGTTTCTCTTGTGAGTGAGTAATTGGATTGTTGCTAGTATAGTTGAGTATTTGATCTGTGTGCGTTGATTTTCTACATACTTGTGTTTCTAAATTTCCTGTGTTGGTTCTCCTGATTAAGACATCTAAAAATGGGATTTTGTTATCTAACTCTTCTTCTCTTGTGAATTTGATGTCTTCAAATATGTTGTTCATTAATTTATGGGTATATTCTAAATCATTTTTCTTAATTATTACAAATGTATTATCAACGTAACGTACCCAGATTTTCGGTTTAATTATAGGTAGAGCTATTAATTCTAATCTTTGCACAATGGCTTCAGCTATTAATCCTGATATGGGCGATCCCATTGGTGTTCCCTTTATTTGCTCATATATTTGAGTATTGAATTGGAATTATGTTGTAAGGCATAATTTTATGAGTTCTATCCAAGTTGAACATTGCGTTTTTATGTTTTCATCACTATAGAGTAATTGTTGCATAGTTTCTGTTGCTAGTTTTGGACTAATTGAAGTATATAATGCTGTGACATCAAAGGACACCATTATTTCATCGTCTTCTACCTGAATGTTTTCGATTTTCTCTAAAAATTGGATTGACGAATTGATGGAATGGTCGCATGATTCTGTTAGGTAATTTAACTTCCTGAAAAGTTCTTTAGATAGATTATATGTTGGTGTTCCTGGAAGCGAAACGATTGGTCGTAAGGGGATGTTTGGTTTGTGTAGTTTTGGTCTACCACAGAATCGAGCTAAACTAGGTCCGTTAGATCTCATTCGCCATTGATCTTGTTCTGTAATTTGTCCTGATTTTGTTAGTTTATTTAACGTTGTTATCGAATGTTTGTATAGAGTTTTTTGTCAACTGTTGATATTATTATTATTATAACATTATTATCTTTGAGTAAATCCTCTGCTTTCTTTATGTAGTCTTCTGTGTCCAGTATTACTGTTGTTCTTCCTTCATCAGCCGGTAGAACAACTATATCTTTTCTATTCTTTAGTTTCTTCAATGCATTCTGCTCTTCAGTGCTAAGTTGGGAATTATGTCTTTTCTGTTTGAGCATAGGTATGATACATTGACGTATTTCTTGTTGTACTTCCTTATTTAATTTTGATAATTTGAATGATGATTCTAATGAAGCACAAAAATCTTTTGCTGAAGCGTCACCAGTATTTTAGTTGAGTCCTTTCTGAAGAAGTTGTTCTTCGGCTTTCGATAATGGTTGTTTCGATAGGTTTACTACGCAATCATTTAGAGTTTCTTCAGATGGTTATTTGGATATCTTAGCTAGTTTTCCTTTGAGGACAGCTCGTCTTCGCTCCTTGTGCCGTTCGCTTATCAATTTGATGGCAGTATTCAATGTTGACAGATGTTCTGGGGTAGGAGTCTGTTCAAGCTTCTCTTTCTGAAATCTAATCATATGCTGGTATTTTTTAATCTTATTGTGTGCATCCATGATCATTAATTTCACCATTTGTTTTCCATGTTGTTTGGCTAACTTTCAGCCTAGAGGACAGTTGATTGGAGGTTTATATTTGACAGAAGCTGGTAGGACCTGCTGGCGGAGACATTCATGAAGAAAGAATCTTTTCTATTATTTCAAAACGGGTTAATTATTGGTTGTTTAACTTTCCAAGGTGGGTAGTATTTGTACATAATGCATTTTTTGCTTGCATCACTACTTACTAACTCAAAATGAGTTAAAGAAATCAACGTTAAACTGTTCAGTTTAACCGTCAAGTTTACAGGTAAATATCTATTTCTATAGTTTTCGGTTAAACCGGATTCAGTTAAAGTAAAGTCTGAAAGCTTACTTCTAAACACTAAATTATATTACCCGTTCATTGACAGATAATGAGAATTATATTTCCTAAGCCTTAGTGTTGATGAAGTTCCGTTAATGAACCATGGACCGTACCTATTACAACAAATTTACGATTTATGTTCATTGATTTCAGTCAATTTATATGGGACTGTGGATAAAGGTTTCGTAATGGTGGTTGATAGGCAGGACGCCAGTTGAATTCTTTGACAGAGAATCAATTTCCAAGGCACTGAAAAAGTAGCTGTTCGATATGTATCAAAAATCACGATACTGGAATACATTCTCGTAATCATCACCAACTCACTCCCGAAGTTTTACATGGCAGGAGAAATGGTTTCGACTTTCTGAAAACCTCTGCCCGTTCAATTTTTGAATTATCTAGTTTGATTTATGATCTCTTCGATAAATGTAATTTTTCTTTTGGTAATAACTTTGGTGCTAAGAAATTGGCTACAGTGTATGCATATTAACTGACCTATCGACATGGCGGCTGGTCTACATCATATTGTATCCCTTGTACTGAAGTATGTTTCAGCTTCTCTGATTACGTTTCTAGAATACTGAAGTACACAAAATTCATATTCATAACAATTTAGAACACTTTGTTGGATTGTTTTTCGCTTTATTTATTTTGTTTAATTTGAATTGCAAGAAGCTTATTCATAATAAAACAACATTATTTACAGAACCAATGAAGAAGATGAAGTGGGTATAAACAGCTGTTTTAACCTATGTTAGTAGTTTACACATTTTATCTTATATAAGATAAGAGCCAACACTCCCATGATTAATTCACAATAGCCTGTTTTCTACATTTTGCCAGTTGTAAAGTTTATACTGTAGCCCAGTGACCTAGTGGATAACGCATGTGCGAATCAGTGCTTCACGAAGAGAATGGCTATCAACTATGCATTTGGTCTGGGGTTCGGTTATCGGCCGAGACACTGCTAAACCTTGATCAACCCTCAAGTAAGCCCGGTAAAGATGGAGGGAATAGATTTCATCACACTAAAATAGGACTGGTCTCAAGAACAGTGCTCGAGAACATCCATTCATCATTTCACTGACCTAGGTGGAGTTGTAGATAGGTGACAGTGTGGTCACCTGAGAACTTGACTTTTAAAACTGAATATCTGAAGAAGCTACAGGTGATTGTTACTTAAGTCCCTCGATGTGTGTGAGAAAAACAACTGTTGAATACTTTTTGAAGTTGATTAAATTCTCAGAAAAAATTAACAAATTACTCACTAGATTATTCACAGAATGTGATATCAATTATAGAATTAAGAAAATGGACATGTTTATAAACCTCACCCATTCAGGATCTTTTATATCAACTTTAATAATTTTATTCATTGGTGCATTCATGTTAGTCATTATGTAAAAATGTGTTGAAGTACTACCGATAAATTTGTAATAGGCATCGAATTCATCAACAATGGGATTCATTTTTAAACGGCCTTTTGGAACGAAAGATTAAAACAGACAAAAGGACATAAATGTAACGTTTATGAATACCATTCAACTTACATGAATTACGTATTAATTTATCTATTAGATAAATCATCACATTATTGTATTGTATTCAAAACAGTATTAGTGACTGGATGAATAATTTTTTTTACATAGCTTATTCTTCACATTCACATCAATTAAAACTATACAACTTTGAAACTTGAATATTATAGTTCGCTTAATTCCTTCTTAAACATATTTATTGAAGCCTTCAGCCCCAAACCCAAAGTATAGTGGAAGTAGACAGACGACAAATTCCTTGTACTGGACACAAGATGCCAACTGATTTTATAAACATATCAACTCAAAGTTAAAGGCTATTCAATTCACTTATACATTGGAAAGTAATGAAGGGAAGCTTCTAATGTTAGATTGTATTATAAAAACGAAAGGAGATGGGAAGCTAAACATTAAAGTTTACAGTAAATCCACACATGTGGTTCAAAACAGGATTAGTGAAATGTTGAAATGATGATAGGGCACCAAAAATGTACTACAGGAATTGAGACAACATATAACTTTCAAACTTCTTAATTACCCTGATAAATTAGTCAGGTATATAGGAAATAGTAAAAAAAATAAAATTGTTAACAATAAAGATGATATACATGGCAAGCATACAGAGAAAGGTGACAATAGTAACAATAGTACTCCCATACAAAAAAGGAAACCCTAAAAACTTACGTAGAATTCTTAACAAAGCGGGAGTAACGGTGGCATTCGAACCCACAAACAAATTATGTTGATTAGACGATACTGTGGAGTCCATGGAACAAAATAATTTAGTTTGCGTAATACACTATACTAGCTTTGAGGTCAAACTAGTAGCTCGGGGTGAGTTAGATTAACCAACCACAAAACATTAGTAAATTCTAGAATCGTTGATCCAAATAAGATAAGAAATCCACGAAATAGTTTAGCCATAGCACTGCATGCAGTCACACCCAGCTATACAATGAGATAGGATAAGACGACAGTCTTAAAATCTAACATGAATTAGTGGGAAACAGAGATTGATAACTGAAGCTTTATTTGTCCAATCAATGGAGAATACGTGTGGTAGAAACACCTGACCCATACATATGGAAAATTCTACTACCTATATGGTGAATAGGGAGGAACAAAGAGAACTATAATACTCAAGTTTCTAAGTTACGCAGTTCTAACTGAAATGATTACGAACAATAAATTATTTTCTAAACTTCTTCTTCCAGTCAATAACACCGTTCCAATATGTGACGATTTATCCAATAAACAAACTAATATGGAATTGAGTGCTGCCACAGTGCCCCAGTATTACACCTATAGGAATTAGTTTTATTATTCTCAACAACAAAGCTTTTGAGTATTTTTTTTCGCGTCATAAGAAAATCATCATAAAACAATAGAAATAGGAGAAATGCATCACATAATGAAAGGTTTCTACATTTCTTATGAGAATTTCTTAAATAAAAATGTCTTTAGGTAGAAGACACGATATTTTTCGCACAGACTTATATAGTAAAAGAAGGTAAACAACCAAACAGACCAACAAACAAGGCCAACGTAGACAAATAAGCCCAAGTAGTGTAGAAATCACAGATAATATTTACCACCAAGAAAGATCAGATTTTTATAAAGACGAAATGTTCTAGAATTCAGTTTTTCCGTAGTGGAATAATCAAGTTAAAGGCCATATATGAACAGATATACTGGACCATAAAAATAAAATCACAAGAAACTAAACTTCTTGTTGGAGAAAGATCGTCGTCCTCTGAGTGATTTATTATTATTGAAGACATCTTTGTCTTAAAGTTATCTTTGTGATTTCATCATGATCTGACAGGAGGAGTGTACAGCAAGTCCGGTGTGAAGACAAATATTCGCCAACGACATTGGCTAGTGGTCGCGCTGTATTGCCAATTGGCAGAACTTGGAATTGATGGGCTGGCCACTGGGTCGAGTCCCAGTGGCGCTATGGTCTACGAGGTCGTCTTGTAACCAGAACGTCCTGGGTTCTAACTCCAGTGGTTGTGTGCTGCTGAAGAGTCTCGAACTAGGATGAAACAACTCTCTAGTACTTTCAGGTTTCCCAATGGTTCTCTAACTGATGTCAGCTTATGATGAAGTCATGTAACCAATCAAATCCCTGCAAACCACTACTTGAAAATTGTTTTTCATGAAAAAAATAAGTGTGTAACTAAGTAAGTATAATAAAAATGCAGAGAAAGAATAGCTATGTTTATTGTTGAACAAAATATTTCATCGGCCACCATTTCGAAGAAATTATGCACATGAATACTTGATCTTTGGGTATCGTGTGAAGCATAAGGCTTCACCAACACTTAGTCAGTTCACTGTGCTTACTGTGGTCTGGTGTAGCTGGCTTCGTGATTAATAATAAGCTTTCATTTCTCTGTCACATGATCTCCTCCATGTTGCCCTGCTACCACCGATTAGCTACTCGAGTCACACACTAGTATATGGTATACGACATAATTTGAAGCTCTCCTCAGTGTTTGTCTGGTACACTTTTGTTTGTTTCTGCATATTTTTTGGGTAATAAATTGTTGGTTGGTTCGCCACGTATAAGAGTTTCTTGCTGCTTATTCTTTCTGACCGGCTATTTGATCTTTATTATCAAGTAGAGGCATCTACCCACAAAAGTCTGCAGTCCGTTGAAAAAGTTCTAGGTGATGCCCACACCAAGTCTCTTGTTTTGTATAGAAGCACTGACTTGAAATTGGTGTTAGAAATTCAAACGTATTATGTGTGGTAAGCTGTATGGATCAGAACACAGATTTGAGAGTAATGAACACCTGTGAAGCCGTCAGGACACAATCTTGGCCGACTTTGATATCCTCATGGTTGAAACAATGTTGATCATGTTGACTGATATTTATGATTAGTGGTCGAGAATCTTCACCACCTCTATCTTCTCTATGTTCACAATGAGTCCTAATTTCACCACGATGTCATCGCTATGCTTTAAGTGTTCGTTTCTATATGCATAAAAGTTTTCATAAGTACATGCTAGAGGACTGATAGCAAATGATTCAAAGAAAGTAACATAGTTAATTCTTTTTGTCATATTCGTCTGCTGGTTTATTGCCACCTAATACTGTTTGAGCCATTTCGCCTACATAAAGTCACTCATTATTTTCCGAAATGACTATGGCCTTTCAACGAATCCATTTAGAGAGTTCCATTACACCTATAGAAAGTGAGATATGTCATCCAACTGCTTATCAGGACACTCCTTATTCCTCTTCAATTCAATATGTTCTCGTTCGGACACACTCCTTTTTTGTCAGTCATTCAACTAAATAACGTTACAAAATCTTTGATTACTGAATTTAAATTAGGACTTAATTAGCACATTCAGTGGTGCATTTAGCCAATAACTCAAGGGTTGCCGATTCAATTTCTTCTGTAATCAAGACTTTTATTTTATGATTGGTCACTATATCATTATCATGTCAAACGAAATATTATTCTCACAGTGAGAATCATTGTATTTGTTGATACTAACATAGGAATACTATTCCAACAATGTAATAATGCATTAGCAACAGCGTCGGTGGCACAGCGGTTAGGACTTTCGCCAACCATGAACATGGTCCGGGGTTGGATCCCCTGCCGATGCACACCTGATACAATGTTCGGCCTGGAAATTTTGGGCTACTGAAATCACATGCTGAAAATTCCACACTTGTACCAAAAATACAGTGTGGAATCAAGGTATAATCAATATATATATATATATGAACATTCTATTTCATGTCGTTTAAAGTAAACAAAACTCACAAGCTCAGTGATCGGTTAAGGAATATAAATTGTGTCTACAAATAGTGGCTTCATCAATTAAAAATTACACCTTTAACTTCCGTGTCTTGCCTTCTGCTGTAACAAAACTAGCACTACCGTACTAACAAGTGATGATTTTTATCCGTTTTCCCATTTTCGAAAAACGTTTAACTCAGGTGGGAATTTTGAAGGTATTCAATCAGAAATTTTAATTATCTCAGTAAATTTAAATATACTATATAAATATAATACTGAAAGTGTAATACTTCAGTATTACACACTAATTGATCAGATGAAAACTCAATATTGATAAGTTATTCTCTTGTGAATGAATTACTTAAGGACTCAAACAGGCGTTAAAATCATAACAGTCAATAAAGTTACTTAGAATCAGCAGTCTTCATCAGTGAAACTGTAGGTAGATGGTTACCTCTGGATATTCTGAATTATGCAAGATAAAACTAATAAATTTTCAGGGACTAATAACAATAATAATAATAACAGTTTTATTCTGAAGAATATGTCTACACTATATACAGAATTTATTGCATAATATTTCACCTCCATCCAGGATCTTCAAGTAAAACATCAGTCACTAGTATATCATGTAACACAGTGTTGTTGCATCTGTGGTACAGACTAATCCTTTATGATATTTTTTCTCCGTCTTCAAAAAACTTGCACCAGTAGTTTTTTGAAGGCAGTTTAAATGTGTTTGAGTACATTTTGCGACTCAAGGATATAGTTGAATGGTTAAAAATATAGTTTTCAGAAGAAACACGATGCATTTTGTTAGATGAAAATTCACGTAGCCCAGTGATTCAAGCAGATCACCAATTAATTTATTACCAATGAATTAGTGTGTTGTTATATTTCACATCATTATCTTTTAAGCATAATAGATAACTTAATGACACAAAAATGTTTATTTCATGTATTTTTCTTTTTTTTGTTTGCACACTAGTCAGTAACTAGTGTAATGTGTCTAGTCCTACCTTCGGTGCAGACTGAATTCTATCAGTCAAGCTTGCAATGTGGCCACCATGCTAGGTGGCTCGCCATTACGGTGCACGATGAATTGTTGGTATGGCGTAATGGCGAGCCACTTAGCATGGTGGCCACGTTGCAAGCTTGACTGATAGAATTCAGTCTGCACCGAAGATAGGACTAGACACATTACACTAGTTACTGACTAGTGTGCAATCAAAAAAATATCTAATATAGTCCTACAGGACAGGGAAATGAGTTCCTTGAAGGTTGCAGATACACCTTGCTTACTACATGAAATCGAGTCTTCCGTTTTACCTGGATCTTCAAGGTGAAAACAGTAAGGTATATGGTAGTACCTACTGACATATAGGCTACGAATTAACTCAGCTGTTTACCAATGGTAGACTGCTGCGTATTTCCATCTCTCTCTTTGTACATTTGTGAGACAGTACTGCTTAAAGTATAAGATAAGGAGAGACTAAAGCGTTTCAGATCATACTTATTCCAGTTCATTCTCTCGTGTTAGGTGAAACGATTGTGGCAAATAACAGTGGAGGAATTTAAAAATTGTTAGATTGTTACAAGTTAGTCGTTGAAAGGGTGACTCTGGTTCAATTAAATTGATTGTGATAGGTGTTATATCTTTCAAGCTATTATCTGTCTTAGTGAACAGTGCTGGGTGTAGTGAGAAAAGTTTGGAAGGGAGTTGCGAATGGTCAGTCTGACAGCAGTTATCTAAGCAGCCAAATAAACCAGTCTGTGTTCATCTGTATGTCAGCAATCAATGTTTGGTTACTGTTGATCAGGTGACTCATAATTATTCAGGTTAACATTGATTTATTCATCATTCCTTGCTATCCCTCATCTTTTCATGTATGTTTTTCTTCGGCAGTCGTAGAATAACATTTCTTTATTCTTCTCTTACGTATGTTTTTGAACGTTGAACTTCATTCGATTTATATTTGAGAAAAATTATATGCAAATCGTGCACCGATGGCGCAGTGGTAGAAGGCTCCCTAACCACACATGCAGCCCAGGGTTCGATCTCCGGCCGACGCACTCCTTTACCTCGCGAAGCCAGTAAAAGAAGATGAGTAAGGAGGGAAGGCTGGGCAAAAAGCTAACAATCCCATAGCGTAAAAATAAGCACCACTGCTAATGAAACTTCTAAGCTTCAGCTTGAAGCCCTATGTTCCACTGGGAACGTGAAGGAATAAATAAATACTCTAATCGGTCATTCAGCTGAACAGGAATAATGTGGAAAAGCCTTCCATAATACGAAGTTCATTTCGTTACTGACTGAAGCAAACAGTATGAAATATTCCACAGGAAGTTTTATTCACTTTCATTTATCTTGAAATAAAATAAAACAGAAAAGTTTCAGTTTTAAAATTAGTACTTTTTGGTATCAAAGAATAAACTCACATGGTGACTGATGATAACGTACCTTTTGTTTTGACTCGTTCATGTTGAAGATCACTGAATATCAACTTATTTTGCTTATAGTTTTCGTTATATAAACTGAGTAGTAAATAACGTCCATTTTCATTGATTTCACAGAACCTTTAAACAAGATATATTGAATAGTCAACATAGACACTGCTTTAAATCATTCAGACTTTTTGACTGTCGATGTAGAGGTAAAAATAAAACTCCAGTTAAAAATTTGATTCTATACTAAGCTGTAATTAATGTCATGCGTCTAGTCCTTTGTATTGGTACAGACTGAATTCCATCAGTTAAGTTTCCAATGTGACCACTGTTCTAGATGGCTTACCATTGCTATGCACTCTGAATTGTTGTTATATAGTTGGAGGTAGTCTATAGAAAGCTTTTAACCCAGGTTTTGTGCTTGCTGTCACTCACCAGTCAGTCAGCAAGGCGTATCTGCTATCTTGAAGGAACTGTTTTCCTTTCTGAGATTAGAACCTGGGTAATCAAGTACTGCAGTTAAATACCTTACCGATGAATTATTTGGACTCACGATTCACCTCCTGTAGGATTGTAAGGGATACTTCCCCTGGACAGTAAATAAAACTGTTCATTAATTAAGTCAAGATCCCACTCATCATCTAATTTGAACAAAACAAGACTGGCCAATCAATTGAATGATAAGTAAATAATGAAAATATAATATTTTATGATAGATCTAATCACAAAACAATGCCATTTACCAAATCAGCGAAAGGCAATGATCACTAAATAGCTGTTTCCTGAGAAGTTTGAGACTCTCGCAATGCATAGCTCCACTTTTGCTGAGCATTGAACTCAATAACTCCAGGTTATGAAAGGCGCAAATTACCATTCAGTCACCGGTGAAGACTGTTGATGATGTTTCAGAATTGACAGAAGTTGAAATTAATGCTTTTAATTGGTCCTTTGTGTTTTATGTGCAACATAGGACTTCAATAACACATCACCATTTCACTGTATTCTCTACAATCCTCTATAGCTAGTTTCACGATTGCCTAAAAACAATCAGTTACTGCTCACAAAATCTTATCCATCTCATCTTCGAACACATGCCCAACTCGTAGTTTCCCATTCACGTTCCACTTGACGGCCTTGCGCGTGGTTTTAAACAACGATGTCCTCAGAGTGTGTCCAGTCTATTTCAATTTCTTTCGGCATTTTTATTTGACGATATGTACTTGTCTGGCCTGTTGCTTGGCCGATTTCCTTGTTGCTAATCCTTTCTCGATCTCCATCTAATCATCAGTAAGGAGCAAAGACAGCTATTGACGAAATTCCGCAGTATCCTGTTGGAAATGCCTTTGTTAACACGCCTGTCAAGTGTCTGAAATATATTGGAGCACTGACTGACTTGATATGAGTGTTGAAAATCCAAATCTTCATTATGCCAAGAGCAGTAGGTTTCAGATGAATGAAGGCCTGGCCTACTTTACCGATTGCGCTTTTGACATTTTCATCCGTATCGCCTGTCTGTAGTTGAAACTATACTGCCTAGATAGGTGAATTTCTGTTTTTGACGCTGACTAATGCTTGTTGTTGTTGGCTGATTATTTTTAATACCTGCTTTTTCCTAAGTTTAACTTGAAGTCACATCTTCGCCTCCTGCTTCTCTTACCGACTTTTTGATTTTCGCCCGTATATTTCCGAGTTTGAGTGAAATCAGACATAAATCGTCTGTGAGGTCAAAATCTTCTAGAATCTTCTTGTTACTTCAGGTTATTCCTGTCTTCATGTTACCCTCAGTCTGCCGTATAGCCCAGTTCACCAGAATCAGAAACAACATTAATGTTAGAATTTATATATATATATATATATATATATATATATATTACATAAAAATAATAGATATTAGTAATAATAATGATGTTAAGCGAATCTGCTCACATTAAATTTGGTCTAGACATTTCATAACTCCAAAGTACTATATCATTTGATTGTTCATCACCCAATTTATGATAATATATATACAGTAAATAATTTTGCATTAAAGCGTGTACTTGTTCCTCTGGCGGATTGGTTGGTATACAATAGATATAATATATTCCTTTATTATCTGAAGACCATGTGAGTGAAGTTTTTGTAAATAACTTTATGCAATCTGAAAGTTCATTGTCTGTTTTAATGTTCCTAAACTAACAAAAAAATATTTTTTTTAAAAACGATAAAACTGGAATAAGAAGGTCAAATCAACAAATGAAAAATGTTCACTTATCCGTTTACAATACTCATTATTTTTGAGTAGCTTTCATTTTAAGTCTACCGTAAAATAATAAGTATGAAATACTGATTTCTGAAAGAAAATAGTATTATACTTTCATATTCATTATTGGTAATTACCTGACACCATATTTGTGTTTCATAATGAATTCTGCAATCATCAAATGCGTGGCTTAAAAAATACCATCTTGTCGGTACTGGTCATGATGAGTTGGACAACCTGTAATCCTTTGAAATAATTAATAGGCAGTATAATTCAGTTCTTCTGAAGTTTGCCGGAGAAACTTTTTTCAAATGTGTAAAATCTGATACACGTCTTTATAAAGAAGTTGTTGTCAGTCTTTTCCTGTCCTGGTAACCATATATCTTAACTCTGCCTTTTATTTGATCACATAATCGTTTGATTGTAACCTCTTCCCTTATAATGTAGAGTTATTTTGCCTAACTTCTGTTTTTATGATTTGAAAGGAACCCACAATAGTGTTACGTGACTTATTAGTCCTAAATCAACAGAGAATTATCTCACTTCGTGTTTTTATCAAGCGACTTCTTCTACAATGTATCCAAGCCTTTATTTTTTATTACTTTGTTTAGGCTTCACCCGCTGTGCGTAAGTAATACCAGTGTAAATCTTGAGAACTGTGTATTAAATTTGAAATGTCCTATTTACTACCATTATGTAAATTATGCAAGTACGCTAAAACTTTCTCTGCATATAAAGTTGATTACTTTTTTAGATTTTTGGCACCTGAACGATAACCGACAAAATAAATGATTAATATTATTCCCTTGAGTTCCGATTCGAACATATGACTTCAACAACACATATCTACTTCCTTCTATTTTCTACTGTCCTCTTCAGCTGGCCCAACGATTGCCTATAATCTCACATCTCCTACTCCCCAAACGATCTCCATATCACCCTCTCACTGACGACTCATTCGTCGCTTCCCATTGGGATTCCACTTAAGCGCTGGCCTGCATTGTGCGCGATGTCATTCGATGGCCTCGTCAACGCTTGCCCGATCCATTTCAATTTTCTCCTACACATTTGATGAGCAATTAGCTATTGGTTGACTCGTCACCTCCCAGAGTTTCTTCTCATTAATCCTTCCTGGCCATTTGGCCTTCCGTATGGAGCTGGCGAGGTGGGAATCTGTTGATGAAAGACTGTAGCTCGTCGGAAATCCTCTTTATGACGCACAGTGCAAGTTTCTGTCCCATATCGAAGCAGTGACTGACTGACTTCACATTTGTGTCGAACAGAATCGGAATCTTGTTGTTTATGCTGGCTGGGTGCAGTGCAGAAGATTTCCAAACTGATTTCAGGTTGATGGAGGCGTATCTCACCTTTCCGATTCTGGCTGGCTGGCTGGCTTTGGCATCTTCATCCGTTCCAGCTGCCTGTGAGTTAAACCGTGCTTCCTAGATAATAAGTGAAACTGGGAAGTAACCTCTGTCTGTCAAATCTCTCGTGTTGATGGTGATTGGTGTTGGTTGTTGTTTCTGATGGTTGTTTATCTTCATCACCTCCGTCTCCACCTTCTCTATGTTCCCCTGTAGTCCTATCCCTCTTTTATTTCAGCTTGATTCCACACCGTATTTTTTGGCAGAAGTATGGAATTTCCAGCATTTGATATCGGTAGCACAATTTTGCAGCCCGACCATAGATATCAAGTGTGAGTCGGCAGGGGATCCAACCCCTAACCATGTACATGGTCGGTGAGAGTCTTAACCACTGTGCCACCAACGCTGCCTCGCTTGTTCCTCCAGTTTGTTGGTTTTTGCCTGCAAGTCTCCGAGTTTGTGTGACAAAAAACATAAATCATCCACACGCAAAATCCAGATCTTCTAAAGTTTTCTTATGGGTCAGTCCCACTTATTCCTGTCTTCACACTCCCCACGCACAGTCTGATACACAGTCCAGTACACCACAATAAGGAATGTCATCTTGGGTGGTAATAGGCAGGCGGCCTTGTCTTACACCTGATTCACTTCGAACGTCTAGCTGAGTTTTCCGTTGTGGATTACCTGATGTGTGGCACTATCATATAGCCAGTTGTTGAATGAGGTTGATAAAGCTTTGGGCACTGCACGCCATATTGTTGAAAACGTTTACAAGTTTAGAAAATGGAAGAATCGACAGTTTCTTATCAATTAGACCCTTATCTCTGGCTCGACTCTAATATATATAGCATTTTTATTACTATGCACAACAATTTACCAATCAAGTGGCAAGTGTCAACATGTCAATAGGTTGATGATTTACGAAGGAAATTAATACACACAATTAAAAAGTAGAAATGGTTACAACATTTAGACTTTATTATGGTTAATATTGGGAAAATGAATAGTAATTAAGGAATGAGGGTGTGCACATGCTGATTACGTAAGAGATTGTTAAAGAAAAATAAAACGATTTGGACAATGATAATTTGTAACTAAGGATGAAGTTGTCATAAGAATAAAATAGTTTTACAAGGATTACACGTAACTGAACGTGAAGTAGTCAGAAAAAATAAAATCATTTGGACAATTATAATTTTTATAAGTTTTGAAGGTTTAAGGGGAGGGGGCGAAGTAATCCGGTTTCCAAATTACTTCTCGGTCAATGCTGTCTGTCGAAGGCCTTTTCGTAGTTGAAGAAGGAAGATGAGGTAGAGGTTTGACTGCCATTCTATGCTTTGTTCGATGACGATGATGAGTAGAGTTGCAATTGGATCACTACATGATTTTCTGAATTCAGGTTGTTTCGGAGAGAGGGTCAAAGTTTTTGCATCCAGTGCATCCTTTATGCTCTCCAGGATATCATGACTCAGTATTACACTTGGCATGGAGAAGAGAAAATAAATGATGGTATTATTTTCCTTTCTCACAAACTGTTCCTTTTGATTTCTCAAGGAAGAAACTGTAGAAAATATCATTCTTTTTTTACAATTTATGATGGATGTTTTCTTCTAATTATCGTTAACTAATCATCATTCATTGATATATGATATTTGGATCGTAGGATTATTTGTTGGGAATTAGATTTATTTTACTGTAGATTTCGTTAGGAGCTAACGCCAGTTATAGATTATCGAAGAAATCATAATTTAGATATCGATATCCAGATTACTAATTTCTACTGTACTAAGAGATCGTAACCAGTGGAGTCAAATATGTCAGGGTGAAGTGGTCTCTCATCAAAGGCAGTGGTGTACGTTGACGCTAATATTATGAACCGACAAAGCTAGAATTCAGGGGATATATAATTCCAGCTGAAGTGGTTTAATAGTATGCAGGCCTGGTATCGTGATCTAGAGGTTGTGGGTGTACATTGCTAAGGATTCGTAAGCTAGAGCGGAATAGTTATTCATTACTGGCTGATTTTCAGTGAACTCTGTAACTGACACTGGTTCGTGAGGAAATCTACAGCGAGATATCAAATTTGAGTTTGATTTAATTTTTAAGAATATACATAGATGATTTGATAATTTGTCCATTTATTCTAATTCTTTATTGCAGAGATGTTTTATATTTTCAAATCAGGGAATGTTCATTTCACACGTGTTCATAAAATGTTAACACAATAAACAGAAATCAAGATATAAAATAAAGGCAGACACATACGCAAACATATGTACTGATAACTTACATTCAATTTATACCATCCTACAGATGAATTTACAACCTCATAGCATAAGTATGTTCCACAGTTGGAGATGTTAAATGCGGTCACCTTTTCAAAATTATCTAAGCCAACACATGTAGAATCCAAGACAATTTCTGGGAAATTTGTTTTCTCACGTATAACTTCTAGAACGCTATATCAATTAAGTATAGGTTATTGGGGTAAAATGTTTTCTGTGTGATATTTTAAAACTTACACATTTTTCGAATGTGGTGGTTTAAAACAATAGAAATAATTGGAACCACGAATTACTGGACAAGTGAACTGATCAAATTCACACAGTGACTGTAAGCTAATCAATATTGATTCAAAAGGAGAGAGAGATAGAGAAAGGAGTATGATGGTAAACATTTACTTAATCCAAAGTAACTTACTAACTTCATTTATTAGACTTCGTCACAAACCAACATCATTTAGAGAGTACATTAGAAACGAGGGTACACTAGTTAAATGTTTTGCCCCACTTTGGGAATCTTCATTAGTCGATACCCACGATTCTAGCCAACAAGGATCGAACCGTGTTCCTTCAAGTTACAGGACCAGGTCCATTGAAGATTCAGCCACTTCGGTTGGAATTCAACGATGGATGAATTCTGAATTTGTCAGTTGATGATATAGCGATATCGCCAACCAACACCATCCATGACCATTCCCTTTATCTTGAAATTTTGGGCTACAGCAGCTTCAGGACATCCATCCAGTAACCTATAAGATGCTGGATGGCGCTGAAAAGTCTTACACCTTGACGAAACAGCTGTCCGGTGCTCCGAGACTTTCTACGATCTCTCTAACTTACGTTGGTTTGTGACGAAATCCAACAATTGAAATTAATCAAAATCGTTTTAAATCCCGTAATTTAAACTTACCAACTGTAAAATTCCTCTTTATATGGACATCGTTTTAGAAAATCTTCTGATAAATTCATTTGTGATTTCAGAAATTGTTGTACTTCTGTCGAGTATTCATTTTCTAACCATCGATAGGGATCATGTACCTTAGTGGAGAAACCAAATTGATAAAGGAAACAGAAGTGTGAATTTATTTATTGGTAGAATTCATGATATGTGTAACTGTAAATTAAGAAGTGCAAATGATGAATATGATTCAATGTATATTACCAGTTAACCCACTTAGCTTGTCAAGATTTAGACGGTTCGAGCTGATAAGGTTATCTGAGCTGAGTTGAACTGGGTACACTCATGACGACCTTGGCTGTAAACAACTAAAATGATTCTCCGGTGTTTAGATATCCATCCAGTATGACTAACAAGCACTAATGGTTGATGTGGGTGGCTTCCAACTCTCCATAACCCTCATTCAGTGGTGTATACTATCATTCTAACCATTGAATTCACTCAAAATGCTGAATAAGTAATGAAAAGATGATATTTATGGCTAAATCGAGGTGAAAAACAAGTGAAGAAGTAACACCTTTAGTCTGGAGAAGGATTCAAGGAATAAACAGCAGCATGAAAATCAGAAATTCCAGCAATGTTAGTTAAAATATTTATCATACAAAAGAGCTGGTCATGTTTTTCTACTAATTTAGTAGACATTTGTGCGTTGCTTACGATGATGGCTGTTGCATTCGAGTCTCATTTGTAACAGGGGAGGGACTGAATTTTTTAGACTCACACTTCCCTTGATACCTTTTTATGATCATATAATTGTTATTAATATTAAAATGCAAACTTGATACATTATGAGCACCAAGAGATGAGCCGTACAAAATCTCATAGTTTGAGTGGGGGCTGGACTGCTGTCCGTATGCTCCCACCTAAGCAGGTGGTTGTTTTAAGGGACCACTCACCCCTCGCGAGCCTATAACTTGAAGTCTGATCCGCAAGAGAGTGGAGCCGTATTGGCAGCTGCTTTCCTATAGTTAAAAGTCAAAAAACAGGTTAATTTTGATGTAGCAGGTCGTTTATGCGGACAGTTTTTTATGATGCCTTTACATGGTAAGCATTCTAAGCCCTGAAATAAGAAGATATCGTTTTGTTTCTTAAGGAATAAAGTGAAAATAAATTGGATGAAACATAGTATAAGATACCCAGTCGTATATATACATATATATTTGGATGTAAAGTCAAGTTTTCTAAACTTAACAACTGAAAGGTATATAGTAAGTAATATGATACTTTTTCAAAGTCTATGAAGTACTTGTAGAGAGTCTATAGTCATGCATAAAAAAGATGTACAATACTGAAAGGAAAGAACACCATTTAGTGATTAGGTCGATTTCTAGTAATCAGGTCTGATACATGCCATAATGTGAATATTTTTGGGAGTTTAAGTTTTCTTTCAAAAATATTATTTTTGGGTACTTGAACGTTCTTCAAGTGAATTATAAATACAGAGAACAGGTTAAAATCTGAAGATACTGGATACTGTGGACCATAAATTAATGAACATTTTTCATATCCCGCCTAATCAGTACAATGGGTATATGTATACGTGTGTGACTGACTATTTTCAACGGAACTTACCTCTTTTCCGAAATAGTTGTCTTTCCACAGGTCACACTTTGTTATTATTGGATAGTTGAATTTCCGTAAAGTCGTCATGTTTCATAAATGAAGAAAACTAAAATTAAGAAAAAATTTAGCTTTTAGAGGGATGTGATCCCAGATGATTAAATAGCTCACATTCATTTATGTGAATGATTCTTTTTTATATAACAAGAGTTTAAGAAGTCGACGATGCATTTCTATAGAACTCGTCAGCATCACACATGATCTAGTTTCCATTCCTCATAGACACACTAATTCACTTTGCTTAGCTGGTAGTAAGCCCAGAAAAAAGGAAGGTTAGGCAAGGTGGGGCTACCATCCGTGTCGTGCAAAAAACAACATTAGTACTGAAACTTGAAAGTCTAGAGTATTATGTTTCCGCTGTAACTCAGATGGGTGAAAACAGAAAAAAACAATGCATGGTTCGGAGTCCAACGATTTTCACTCGGCCGGAATATACCTACCTATCAAATCTCCCAGCGTCACTAGGATACGAAATAGTGTGTTGTAAACTTATATTCACTGATCTGGTGTTATTTCTCATCTATTATTCAGCTGTACATACTCTTTAACTTTTGGTGGTCTGCGTATGTCAATGGGTTGTCTAATTTTCTATGCATCCAAATGTTTCTTATTTTCTGTGTTTCATGATGTTTTATTAGTTATCCAATTACATCTCTGAATAGAAATATGTACTCACATTTGTAATCAAATGGGATTTGACCTACCACCAGGGATTTTTTAAAGAAAAGGGGGATAAAACACATAATAGGTTATTATAGGGTGCTTTGGATAGAATAACATAGCTTGACATAATACGTGACTGATTGTTGATTTACTTGAAGATTCTACGTCCATAGTATAGGATGCAATGAAACACGCTGGTAGTTCTGAAGCTGACGACTCTCAAATAGGAAGAAATGTGCATCCTGGATTCGACCCTGCTAGCCAACACCAAACAGGTAACTGCGAGTTTTTAATCCTGGGATATTGAGGGGCCACCAGTAGAAATTAGGTGTTAAAATCTGTAGAGTCTATAGAACTATAGAGTAAATTTTTTTAGTTGAATTTTAGGTATCATAGTTTTACAACACACTTTTACTACACCGTAACAAAAACCACACAGATGGAAGAAAGCATGACCCATATCCAAAGTGTATAAAATATCACAAAATTATGAGTATTTAAGTGATTATTTGTTATCTGACTTTATAGACAAACTGCTGGTTATGCAAAATGTATTGATTTAAAGCTCATAGTCATTTTCAGCGCATAACTGAAGAATTTTTAACCCAAAGTTTCTTCGAGCTTTTATTATTATTATTATTCACTGAAATATATATGGTTAGATTATATTTCTCAGGATAAACTACACATATTTCAGTTTGTGTCTGAAATCAGAAAAATAGGTATGCTACTTTCGTTTCGTCGTTTGTAAAATAGAAAATGAAAGTGAACTAGGTAGATAGTTTTAAGGAAGTCGAAAGTTAAATTTTTTTAAATAATAAGAATTCAGTTGAACTGGGGACCAGTAAATATAATTCGTTAAAATGCGCAAATAATATTACAAAATACAACAATACCAGTCGATAATTTAAGTAATATCCAACCAATTATATCAGTTAATCAGTAGTATATAGAGTTGTGCATTTGTCCTTGCTTTCTTGATTGCTGTTAAAATGGTATAAAGCAGACCATCTGCTTACTATAAAACGAATAGTTTCGGTTTTCAGGCAAAACTTTAGTGAAGTTTAACCTCGAGCTATGTAAAAAGCAAACAGAATCTAGTTGATCTCAAAGCATGGTAGAGGCAGCCATTGTAATGACCGACGTGGTTTTCAAAAGGAGATAAAAGATCCCCCGCAGTTCAAAACGGTCATCACTACTTAAGATATATTCACTGGATAATTTCTATATAATGAGTAAATCACATCATAATAATCTACTTTCAGATATTATTAAATGAGTAATTAGGGGTTTAGGACAAAATTCAGGTAAATACGTATTTTCGGCAATTTATCCTCAGGCTTTACAATCACATAATGAAATATTCCTGATAGACCTCTGAAACAAATGTGCTTAATAGGATTAAAGATTAGCTATATAAATTACTGGATCAGGTGATCATGATAAATAATCACAAGGATAAATTCATGCAGGTGTTCATATAATTTTGGTAGTCACCAGCTTTGAATATGCAAATAGAATGTGTAAACATGTAGCGGTAGAAGGGAAAATAGCTTTTATCTCACGGCGATTAGGTAGTACAGTGTTTGGTTGTATAGTGAATTTTCGAACTTAGAATAAAATATGCGACATCCATATCCACCAGGTATACTCACATGGGACACCTAGTTGACGTTATGATTCTTTTTCATAACCAAGTTTGGCGATTTTCAAGAAGGCGATCATGAACTTGCTTAGAACAGTTTCCTATCTCGGTGACACTGGATAACAGTAAATGTTATCTTTATTTGTACTATTAACTTTATTATCAATACCATGGTGAGCTATAAATGCATATTTTAATCTAAGCTTCACAGTTTATTATAAAGCCAAACACTGTATTATCTAATCTTTATGAGATAAAAGTTAAGATTATGCCATCAGGGAATTCCTACAAGCCTGGTATTAAAGTGAATCAGCCAGCAATTAACGAATACATTACTATAGACCAAATTTACCAACTAATAAAAAGTAAATCACATGACAAGAAAGTTCGAATTCCAAGTCAATAATATAAATGATTAACAGAGACGTAAATTTACAACCAGTCATGACAATAGTTGCTAGGAGATACAATTACATCAGTCATGGGGAATTCAAATAAGTTCGTTTTATACTAAAAGTTCAGATGAAGATATTGTCTAGGACGACAAAAGCATCGCAATTAAATCAGCCGGCTCAGAGGACACAATTATTTCAATAAGGTGAAAATATTCATTCAGACATCTAGAAAAAAACGAAAAAAATAGGCAAAGAATATCCTTTTCGATAAAATTCTTTTTATGGCTCTACAATTATATATGTGTTTATATACATAGAATATTCTGGAGTAGTCATCGATAACAATATTGTTTTCTTTAAACAATATTGATTTGTTAAGTAAGAAGAATAAATTATAAGAAGCAGAGAGATATAAAAAAGAATAGAATATGAAATAAAATTAAGGAAATCTCGACAAAAAATTGAGGATCTTTAAAACCCTGATGGCCAAGGTAAGGACAGTGGCTGGACCAGCTACTTTTGGATACATAAGTTATGTGTCTTAATGAGGATCCCAACGACCTCAGCAATATGTAGTAGACGAACTCTTAAGGTGAAGTTAAGATCAGTTGGTATGCGGTAGATGACTTTGAAAGCCTTGTTAACATCAGTCTTGAGTTATGTATCCACAAAGATGAGATAGGAAAGCACTATGAATGGGTGTTTCTTGCCTTACACTTAACCACGTCGGGTGATATTCGTAAATCCGACGAAATCTGACTGTACAGGTTGGAAATGTAGTCTTTGAAAGGAAATATTTGTTCGCTTAACAAAAAGTGTGCTTTACCTTGTAAACCAAGAATAAATGATATTTTTCATTATGTCCCTGAAGAAACTCAGATCACTTTGTGCTATTTTTTGGTTCAGTTTTGCTGAAATTTATACAAATATATGAAATTTTTACATTTGTCTGCTTTTCATTCGGTTTTTGATATCTGTGCGAACTACTCGATCAAGTCCTGATAAGAGTTTGTATAAATCAGTTATTGTTTGTCATGCGGTTTTAGTCAATATAAATACAACTATAAAGATTTCACCGATTGGGGAAATTTTTTTTGTAGACTTGTTGTTCTTTATGTATAGATTAAAAGTATTCTTATTGAATGGTGTTAGATGTTCTCATGGTGATTAAAATAAGGCCATTGACTAAATATATGTATTATTGATAATCCTCATCTTGACTTACTGGATAGAGTGTATTTTTCATTAAAGTTTGAGACATAGAGAGAAAAAGAGCTTAGTCTCAATGACTTAATTTGTAGACAATAAGTAAACAGATATCTCCAGCTTCTGTGAATATTTTTACCCCTCTACTTACGATTGGGCCAAAGGACTCAGGTCTTGAAAACTTCAGGTTTCAGCGGTATAGTGTTGTCTTCGTCAGGGGGTCTCGAGTCCAACCTTCCCTTTTTCTCAGACGTACAGTGCACTATGTAAGGCTTAGGGGTGAGTCGACCGGGAATCGGACCTTGGAACACAATCAATGTTGGTGAGCATTCTGTGGATACAGAACCGCATAGTCTGTTAGGTTAAGCGTAATTAATATTTTAATTGATAACACAAAAATCTATTGTAGTGAATTAGTTATCTTGAAGTAATGAGCATAGAATTGTTTATCATGTACGACCCAGTGATGATAGAAATATCCTCACTGAATAACTTTTAGATGTTGGCTATAACATCTGTTGGCATCTTGGTTGCGCAGTGCTGAATGGTCCAAAGATAGGGCAAAAACGTTATCCAGTACCTACTAGTTTCCAATGATTCTTTGCCTATTGTTAATCCACTTTCGTAATTAAACTGAATTAATTTCAAAATGAATTATCGTCACTGAAACTGATTAACCACCACGTTACCTCAAGTCTCTAAACACTTGTTGCATCAGTGTTCTAAAGAATACAAGCTAAGCTCTGCTTCACATCAAACGTCGTGATTTCGTGGATAGATAGCATATTTCAGTCTGGTAACACTCCAGATTCTTTCTATTTAACGCTACCTAGTGTGGTCGATGAACAGAGGTATAGGAAGTATGTTTAAGTCTCTTTAGACAATAGAAATTAGTGACCGCATTCATTTTTCTCTTCATTCTATATTTCCACTATTCCCCCTCGTGAATAATGATTATATCGAAGAGTGTAAATGCTACAGAGATAATGTCTGTTACATCTACTGTGTTAAATAGCCAGTTACTTTTACCGATAATGAAACAGTACAGTTATCCTTACATGGATGAAAAGTTTATACATCTCTACTGACAGAATTGGTGACATCCGTATCTCAGCTGAGAA